ATTTAAATATTTTTAACCTCCTTTCGTTTAGTAAAAGGAATTATTCAATTTAAAAAATAGATTCGTTTATAACAGTTGTGTTTTTATTGCAATACTAGTGTTGTAGATAATTTTATTCAGCATTTGTTTCCAACATAATAACGTTTAAAAAAATGTTTACAGTTGTGAAATATATTTTTATAACATTTATTTTATGATTTTACGAAGTAGATAAAATCTTGTATAATATTTGTATTGTAAATTCATATGGGGACACTCAAGGTATTGTCAATCTCTGTTAGCTCCTTGTTTGACAAAAACATATCGTTACAAGTGCTTCCTAAAAACGAATCTGCAATACTTGTATGTTAAATAAAAATAACTAAAAAATATTTTACATTATACTCGGCCAAAGAAGAGAACAAAATGTTTTGTAAAAGAGATGTATTGTATCCAAATCTTACAATTAAAAGTATAAATATCTCCTGCCCATCTTGAAAAATTTTCCACTGGCTTTCGCCCAAACGGAAAATAAAGCTGGCGCGCCACTGCGTTTAACCGAAAGCAGTACACATTAAATAAAAGCTAAACATGTATATAAATGTATAGCAAAAAGGAAGAAATGGAAGTGTTCAATTTCATATGATTGAGAAACTTAACCGGAAGCGAATTAGAATTATCAGAAAACTGACCCAAATATGTTTTTTTGCTATAAGCTCAAATACTTCATTTCTCATTTATACATATTGTGGGCCCTCCTGGGTCGAAAGCGATACATAGAGCTACAAGAATACACCACCTGTCTACTTTTCTTTTGAAGAAGTGCATTTTTGATTTTCAAAGTTCTTAAAAGATCAAATTAATTCGGATCCAAAAGAATTAATTATTCTAAAGGAGAAACCCGCATGAAAACTCAAGGGTCTATAAAGGAAATCTTCATATAATCATTCAGTAGTTGGCTGAAAACCTTAATAAATTAAGGCGGATTCTCGATAGGATTCAGACTATTGAATTCTACCCTGGAATATACGTTTCCATGATAGTAGGTATTGCTTTGTTAATCATATAATGTGTCTCGCGCAATCGCTGTTTTTCGGGAATTCTGAAATTTTTTAAAGTTATTAAATGCAGGTCTATCGCTGAAGCAAAATATGTATGTAACATTAAATCTGATATCGAGAAACAACTTGACAATGTAGGTATATCATCGATCCCAAGCTTCTAATTACGCAATATCCATGAACAGTAGAAAATTATAATCTTTTGCAAAATAGGTGGTCTACTTGTACCAGTAACAGGCCTCAGGCATCTATTTGCAACGATAGGATCGCAGTTCTAAGGCGACATTCGCTTTGAAACGTTGTAATGATGGAAATCTATAGTACGGAAGTTGTCGGTGTCGAGAAGACCGAAAAACATTGAATATCGGTTTGTGTAGAATAATTCATGACAAACATATTAAGATATAAATACTTCTGACTAGATATCGTCTGGATCGATGCATAATAAATCTGCTGTTTCACATAAGAGTCTCAAAATAACTTAATAAATTTAAATGTGAATGATCATTCTATCATGCAAGGACATCTAGAGCGGCAAACATTTAAATAATTCCAAAACGTTTGACTGGAATACTATTTTCTTACGAAAACAAGTTAAATTGTTGTTTACAACTTCTACTTGATAAGTATAAAAATTGCCTAAGTAGCCGTCCATAACACCTCCAAAAGAATGCACCCAATTTTCATTCCCTCTGTACGCTTAGAATTAACACTTTGATCAATAAAGGACCAACACATCTACGTGACATAACAGGAACAGTTTTAATTAGAAACTGATTTCCTTATCGGCTTTAATTTTACGCTTTGCTCAGGCATAATCGTAATGAACATATCATGAACATATATTTGATAAATGCTACAAGTTATCAACATTTGGTTACCGCAAGGATTTTAATAAAATAATTACTGTTTGCTAGTGTGCGCTTAATATGTTATCTAGGAAGTCCATAGACTGGCAGTAACTAATACCCCATAAATAACAATAAAATAAATTGTGCAGCCAATAATCAATTTTTAGATTAAATAGCTCGAATAATTGCTCATTCGGCCCAAGTTTCTAATTCGTAAAATCCAGATAAAAACATGGTATATTTCCAAATAGCTGATGGCTTAAATTGAACCTGTGTGATCTTCACGTAATAACCAAGCGTAAAGCGCAAAATTATGGGTTTCAAAAATCGGCCTTAAAACCCATGAATAAAATTGTCTTCAGAAATATTTTGGGGCTCATGATTTATCAGTTTTGATATACAACCTAAAGGGTCAAGTGCACGTCGTTTTTTACGGCCCATAGGCCAACCATTTTCGGTACAGTAATTGGAGATTACATTGCTTCCTGGAAAATTTATGACCGCCTTTGAGAAAACTGAGACTTGGAGTTATCTGGGTGTGGTTTTCTTGTTTTAATTGCTCAAAAAACGCTATTTTAYAGATAAACCGGATCTAATGACCTGTTTTCCAGTAAGGCATTAATTATATCAWWGCACTTTATAAATAGAGAAACACATCCAAAGTCAGAACGCACATTCAACATGCAGATACAAATCTTCAAGCTAAAAAATTGGTTGGTCAAGTTGTAAACTTCAGTAATATATTTCATCTCTAAGCCAAAATCAATCATAACCCAGTCGAGATTGGAGAAACTGATACATTTGTGTGGAATCTAATGATTGTTTTCATTTTAAAGGATCAGTTCTCTTATTATCGCATTGTCAGGTGTATAATGAATAATTATGTCCGCCTTAATTTATGTTACTGTATTAGCAGTACACATATGAAAATTGTTACAATGGAGCGACTCGATTATTTTTACCTCGAGGATTGCGACCCATAAAAGTATTAATAGGTCGTTAACAGTTAAACATGGTCCGAGTAGGGTGAGTTCATTGCTTCGTTTTATAGARAGTGCTTAAAGATAATTAAAAATTTAATTAGCGGTAAGTCTGCTGGTGCTTCAGGACAAACTGGGATGCTTTCAGCCYYACTTTTYTGCTAATCTCATCTAGAAGCCCCRGAAAAAATCACACTTCAATTTTTGAAATTTTACCTACTGAAAATTTCTAGACAGCCACACTTTGAGAATGGTCCTAAATTAGTAATAAAAGTCAARAATTCMCATGCACACGTTGAGCATGTTTCAAAGATTTGTAGTAAGAGTGTGTTCACTGTGTTTTAAGATGTTGCAAGTTCGCGTTTCACTTTAGCCATTTTATTCAAAACTGGTTCTGACATGTTTTAGTCGTTTATGAACATGTAGGATACATTTTTCCTTAGCAAAACTCTACACACAACTACAATTTTTAAAAGAAATAGAAGATTTAAATGAGAAATGTTGGTAAGTGTATGCAAGTAAAAATACTAAATATGTGTGTTAATGTTGAACACGATTTTGGCACTTCAAAGATTGTCAACTAAATCTTCACCTAAGAAAATGGCATTGATCCATTTTTCCAAAACGGATGAGCAATGAGCACTTATCAAGTGCTCGAAAATTGATTTAATAACCCTTATATTGTCAAACATTTATATAAAACAAAATATAATGTATCTGCTGTTGGCCTTGTAAACCTTCTTAGATGGAGATAACTTTTTATATTTGCATATTACGCATATTATATTGAGGAAATTTTAAAACCAGACGTTCGCAATTTTGTGCTTTGTTTCGTTCTAAAAAAAACGTTCTTTAGTTATTACTATTTGGTCCTCCTTTTTGTTGTCATTTAATTTAATTTAAACACTTCTCTTCATTTTCGAGCATTTTTAATTCTCTTAGTTGTCAGCATTCTTTAAGTTGTTGTGTGTATGTGTATGCTGCACCTATTATAATAATCTTGATTTTTATTATTTATAAATTTCTTGATATTTTATATATAACTTATGTATGTAGGTATCTTTCCCAACGTACCATCACACCATTTTGAATAAAATACTAGCCAAGTCTTTAGGAAACCCCCCGCAGTATTGTCTTTCTCCTCTTAAGCAATGATTTTGGCCAATGAAATGAAATTAGAGCTTTTCACACAACTGATTCCACAACTTGCATTGTAAAAATGTCACTGTACTCAAAATGCAATAAAGAATACAGTATTATAAATAATTTTTTACCGGACGTGCAGTTGATCTTAAATTTAAAGAAAATTTAAGATGAAATTTTTACTAAAGATTAAATCTTACTTAATTTTTAAGTAAAATTACTTAGATTACTGTACAATCATACAAATAATTATCTGATGTTACATTAAAATGTAACCATTTGATTGAACCATTGTTAACCATTTGATTTACAAATCAAATGGTTGGTTAACTTCGAAGTTTTTTTACACTCAATTTTTTTATATATAATTATGTATTTCGCATCAGAAGTATTTAACTGTAGTATTTAGAATGAATATTGCATATAGCTTATGCAGTTATGACTAAAATTGAGGCAATTTGGTCTATTTGATTCGCGAATTAACTGTAACAATATAGCTAAAAATATTTTTTTTACGTTTGCTAGAAACTGATTACCAAAGATTTCGTGTTTTCCGCCTAATAACTATTAATTGGATAAGAGTTTAAAATGTCGGTAAATATAATTTGTATAACATGCAAAATGATTATCTGCAGGAATTTGGACTCTGGTCCACTAACCCACATGCTGAAATTATGTTAAGCACAATATTAAGTTATAATTCAATAGCGCAGTTTCTCCAAATTAATCAATAAATTATAAGTGCAGACTGATAAGCAAAATAGTAATTTAAAGGCCGCATTCCAGAAACATTGCCGGAATTAAATGATATTTGTATTATTGGAATAGAATTTGCGAAGAGTGCGTATGCAATTTAATTCCAAATCAGGTTTAACGATTTTCTGAATTGAATTAAAATTATTATTCACCTTAAAGTTCATAGTGATATAGTTGGAGGCAAAAGTACTGCATTCCTATGATTTGTTCAAACTTTTTTTTGTTTTCAGATTAAAAGCGAGATGGAAGTACTAATAGACAAATATTTCGGTAATATTTATCAGAATTACTCAGGATCCAAAAAGTGCCTAGTTCGACAAGCCAGAGATCTTCTAGTATGTGAATACCGCGGTTGCCTTACCAGATTCGAAAATGAGTTTTGCTGCCAAGCTTCCAAACTTCTCCAATTTCTCAAGGTAAGTTTATTTATCCTCATTGCCAATTGCATTAAATGTATTTATGTACAGCAACCTTTAAACGCGCTATTGCTTATTCAATGCGCTTCAAGTTTTTTTGTTGAATCAACTCTCAAACCCGATACAAATACAAAATCAAGTTTTGAGGACGCTAGTGACATCAAATTATTTAAGCAGTGATGTATTGTTTATATTTATTGATGTGTGCCACCTTTAACGCACAATGTTCTAACATGATTCTGTTAAGTTCGTCTTGACATCGCAATAAATTTACATGATGGTACGAAATACAATGCGTTTTTGAAGTCAAGGCTAGATCTTCAAGACATTCAAGCAGGGTTCCTATATGAGGCTAAATACTAAGCTTTATGAGTCGTAATATTTTTCTATCTAATTTAACTGCTATTTGCTGAAATTTCCAAATTATTTTTAAGTCAATGTTTTAAACAGCTACTTGGGAATTAAGTGGATCTTGCGGAGTGATTTTCAAGGTTTTGAGGTACACGATCACCCATAATTAATAATTGGAGTCTCGGCTGACAAGTCGCAAAGTTGATGGAAAATAATGGCCGTATCGACCCAAATCGATGGCAAATTAAGCCGATATTAGCTGATCGGGTCTCTGGTTGCGTTCAATTCTCTTCCGTATCTCATGTGAGCGTTTTCATGCCCAAATAAAATAACTGCTGATATCTCCCCAAAGATCCGAAATTCAGGCACGCAAAATTACAATCAATTACGTCTCAATCGGATCGGCACGAACACGATCAAAAGCGAAAGAAATTATTTCGGCATGGAGAAGAAACGAAAATCGGGCCGCGTTCTACATATCCGCCGTTCATTCATGGTTTTTTGGCCCCGAGTGAAGAGTGCAAGTTAACTTTTTATTATTCGGCTTATCTGAAGATATTTGACAGGTGTTTATGGAAGCAGAGCACATTCTTGCCGGTCATCAGCCAGCCTCACAATCGGTAAGTGGGTTTTAGTGCTCGAATTTGCATAAGAGTCAAGGCACTTAAAAGCCATATTGAAAAAAAAAACACAAATATTAACTGCTTCACGTTATAAGAAAACTAAAATATAATTAAGTTTTATTTCGAGGTATTGGAAAGCTTTTTGTTGCCTTTTGGAAAAATAATAAAACCTATAAAATGTAACACAAGAGATGAAAGTAAATGGTAAATATCTGGCGGAAGATTTAATCTTCTTGAAGACGTATCGTCAACCGATCTGAACGATTTGAACAGAAATGAGCAACAGAAGAACAAATTATGTACAAGGTACAGTTTGAAATTATTTGCTTAAAGGTTGGAGCCATTTTTATAATTGAGAAATACATGTGAAGTTGCTTGTACTTAAATTTTCCCGATAATCCGCTATTTCGAGAAAAACATTCTTGACAAAAAATACCCAGAATGTGACGAGCTGACTTGTTCTTGAAACTGAAGTATAGTTTTATTGAAAATGCCATATTTCAGTCAATTTCTGCAAAACAATACAAACAACAGCAGTGCGAACTTCACCGCCAACTTCTTCGGGTTCGGGTTAAATAAATTTTGTGATTATTCATGTAAAAGATGTGCGATTTCGATATTCTGTTGTTATATTATTATTTGGGCCATTTTGAGCAAGAGTTGTTCTTATATATTCACAAAGTTTTCTTTGATTAATCTGCACAGTTTGCTGGAGTTCTGTAAAGGTGAGTTTTGATGTTAGTAAATGTGAGAAGTTTCACGAACAAACTGAGAGATTCGCAAAAACTAAGTCATAAATTTGCGAAGAATGTATTTCATCGCAAAGACGATTCATTCAAAACGTTTCACTTATTTACATTACTTTCAAACCTGTTGGGAAACACGCAAATCAACAAAAAGAGCAGGTGAATCTGAAAGTTAATTGTACAAAAAAGTACAGTTTTACTGATGGAAATTTAAATTCGTCACACGAATCAGGTGGAAAGAATCGAATTTTTGAAAATAAAATTTGTTTTCCATTTGAGTTTCGAAATCAATCAAATAAATCCTTATATTACAGTTCGTACTCACGTTACATCAGTTGTATCACAGAACTGTGACATTTGTCACATAATATCTCATATACACACACAACTTCACAACATCAGTTTTTACTGTTAATAGAAAGCTAGAGAGCAGTCTTTCTTCAAACTATTACTTGAGGCGGAGTAAAAATTTGGGAAACTTTTCAATGATTTTCCATGACTGTTTTAGTGCGTGTTCCCATATTTCGTACAAAACAATATTAGTCACATGTTGTGATCATAGGACTAGAAGGACCAAAATAAGTACCTAGCTTAATCATTCCTTGTGTATCATAAAGAATATTTCATTCAACAGTTTTCTCTGTAATCTTTGCAACATAATGCTCAATCCGAAAATTATTTTTCAAATGGACTTATTTTAATAATGCTGTAGATAAGTATCTTTATTTATGCAATGTCTCCATTTGTAAAATATCAATAGAAACTTGACAAATGGTATCCAATCGGGCGTGAATAAAGCGGTGCGGCATTGAATATTCATCGAATTCATGACATTTAGCTGCAGGACAAGCAAAACAAGCCCCCCAATAATAGCAAAATATTGTCAATAATTCGAAAAACTTACGTCGCATTTCCCTAGTTCTCTTATATCTGCACGGTCTGATAATTAATAGCGCTTTTAATTTATGAACAGGGCCGGTAGCAAATCATGTTAATTAACAATTAACTGATCTTTGGGTCGCAAACCTGCGGGACTTGTTGGAAGGAATTTATGGGTGGCCATATTTGGGATTACTTAACTTCGAAAGAATAAAAGGTAGTGCATTAGGTACGTCGATGGCTCGAAATTATCTTTTGGCACGAGAAATGAGAAATGCGGAATTTCTATTAGTATTTTAGAAAGCTTTAAAGCTCGGCTGGTTGATGAATTTATTGCCAAAGCTCTATATTAATTTCTTGATATAATATTTTTAACAAGCAGATACTGCTGAAACTTGCTTGAATACGGCTAAGACTTATCTATCGGCCCGGCCTCACTGATTATAAACTATGAATGAATTTTAATGAACGTTCTTAACGCTGAGGCCCTGCAGTTATGGCATTAAATATTAATGAGGATTAAAAAAGTGGAAATTTTCGTTGAAGTTTTAAGTGATGGCTGTTAAAACGCGTTTTAATTAACAGTAGTGCATTGGTTGGCCACGGGTTACATCTTTTATTATGCATCCGACTCGGCATATCCGAGAAGTCAGTCGGGACTTTATTAAATATTCAGATAATTCAGATTTAAGAGAATTGGCAGTGAGTGAAAAATATCATAATCGTTTATGTCGCTGGTCGAAATCCGATATTTGTTACTCGAGTGAAATCACTTGACTCTTTTATTGTATTTTTCAGGGCAGTGATTTATTTACGATCCAATGGTAATTTCTTAATAAATTCGAGTTGAAATTTTATCAACCTTAAGACGTTTTGTGAAAAAATTTATAAACTTTGCTGTATTCGTTTTGCAAAACCGAAATCACTTTGTTGTCATTTCAAACAAACGACGCTGGTTTTTTTACCACCAAATGTTCAAAAGTCGCTTAACAATGGATTTATCTTTACAAAAGAGTCATTTTCAGAGTCAACAGTTTGTTTATACAAAATGGTATAAAAATTAATAGCAAATCAATATAACAGAAACATACAACATCAAACATTATTTTATTGGTTTGCAATTTATTTGCGTTTCGAGTCTCACCTGAAAGACGTTCGTTAGGTCTTGAAAAATTTTGGAATGACAAATTAAAAAAATGTTTGATATAAATTAAGATTCCTCAATGTCGATTGAAAGCTTTTTGTGCCCACAACAGTAAATGTTAAATAAAAACTTGCACCATTATAAAAACTGCATAATATTTTCAAAGCATAAAGCGCTTATAATGGTAATTTCTAGGTGATATTAAGGATATTGATTATTCAAAACGCTAATGCATGCAAGTCTATTTCAGAAAATTGCATGCAGCAGTTTTGGTAACAAGAATCATGCAAATAGAGAAGCATTTTAATATGCACGAATTGAGGCTCTTAGGATTATTGGTTATTATTGTCACAGGCATCGAATTGTTCATACCCGCTAGTTTTGCAAAAAATGGCACTAATAAACGAACATTTTCTTCCCCAAAAAATGTCATAAAAAACGTTTTAATCAAGGGATTTTATCAACAAACTCGAGTTATAATTTGCGTAAAACTATTCGACAGTTTTAGAGATATTTAGAAAATTCACTGCCAATCACAGCATTCAAAGTCAAACAAAAAATATTATATAATAAATAAATATAATACAAACAAAGATTTATTCGCGGGCAGCTCGAAGCTCATTTAAAGCAGATTTTAAACGTGAAAGTCGTATTAAGTATCCAGTTGAATTATCGACTTAAATTTCGTGCGAAACGATCTGGAGAACTTATTGCAGTCTCCGACTAAAATAATCGGTGATTTTCAGTAACTGTAATAAATACTTATAATATTTTCAATAAAGAATAATTGATGACATTTTGTACCACAATGGACCAGTCAAATTACCCAAGAGCTTTTCATATTGGTGTCCACCCATCCAATATGGGTCCACCCATCCGTTAATTACTTTAATTCAAAATATGTATCTCGAAAACGGTTGTTGGTAGCAAGTTTTGATAAGAATAACTTTTTAACGTGAAAATGAAAGTGCAATTAATTTTCATGCTAGATATTATGAAACAAGCATGTACGAAATAGTTGATGACTCTTCTAGGGAAGAAACTCATGTGATCAGATTTAAGTTTCTCATCTCACGGAAACCCCAAATATCAAGTTTTGTCTAAATATCAATAGTGTTTGCAAATAACTTAGAAAATGCAAAAATTGAAATTAATCTGTTAACATTCTGTAGCCCGATAAGGTCTTGCAAACCCTTGCCCGTATGGACATTTTACTTTACTTATTCAAAAACACCCAGTATTTTTTGATTAAAACTGAATGATAAGTTTTTGCTGCAGCATATACAAGGTGTTCTAGCTTCAATCTTCAAAATACTATTTCAACCCACCCGATTTTTGTGTTAGTTAAATTGCACACTATTTGGGAAATTTTAAACATTTAAATGTATTCAAGCTTTATTAAATCAACAAAGCTCTCACTCAAGCATCTACTCAAGCTCAAACAAGCTTTATTAAATATTTCATTATTAGGAAAATATATTTTTTCAGACTTATCTTGGAAGTCTCATAAAAGCTCGAAATATTTCAGCTGTTTTTGTCAGCTTAATTTCGTTTGAGAGTGTCAATATATTGTGCAGATTACGTTAAGAAATAATAGTCATTTCTCGAATAAAGGTGAAAATTACCCTTTCTAAAAGAATCGAGTAAATTGCGCATTGAAAAATAGTTTAAAGGCATTCACTATGCACTATAATCAATAAAGTCCGATTAGAAAATAATGAGCAGTACCTTGAATAACTTGAGCAATGTATCAAGTCATTCTCTAATCCGCTGACTTGTAAGTAAACGCCATTATCTCAATATTCAAATATCTATTAAAAGTGATAATAGATTAAATG